TTTCTTCCGACTAGCCAAGCGGAGTTAGTCCCTGCCGTCGTTCGTTTCCGTCGTTTCCCGTTCGTCGAACTCGACTCTCCGGTTATTTGGTAAGATAAGAAGGATTTTTAAGAGTTTAAGTAGGTAACTCTGTTTCAATGAGATTGGAAATTCACCTTCAAAGGGTTCCCGGAACAGCCCCCAAATGTAATGACCTCTGGGTGAACTAGCAACCGTATTCCTCTACGAAACTGAGGTTTACGCAAAGTTTCAACAGTACAGCGATTAATTAGTCGAAAATGTCAGTTAATTGCGCAGTTTCAAAGGAATTTTGCTCGAGAAAATATCTCTCTCCTCTTGGGCCCATGACCTTCCGCTAGCAATCCCTCAATGGGTCGCTAGTCGCGGGGGACGGTCGTCCCTGGCAACGCTGCACCGGCGCCTCCTTCTTTCTATAAGACTACTACTTTAGCAATTGGTCTGCCCTATTCGTCCCTCTATTCTAAATTAGCTTATATTTGTAATTTAGGTCGCACTTATTCTATCTCCCTGTACTTATGGCCGCTAATTTAGTTACTATAGTAACAGCACTTGCTTGTAGTGCTAGTGCACTACAAATGACCTACTGGCACCCGTGTCCACAGGGGCTTCGACTTCTTCACCCTGTATCTGCACAGGCAACACCCACATATGCCCTGCTCCTGTAGTGCATTGGCACTACAATGCACAGCTGTAGACACCTAGTGGGCAAAAACAGGACGGAAATCTATAATTGCGTTCAAAATTTTAAAGTTAGTTAACCAAATTGTAGAGTGAAGGTGGTTAGCCGAGGATAGCCGACTGCCTCGTTAGAGGCAGAGTCACCGCGGAACGTAGGCGGGCCGCAGCGTGGCGGCCCCACGTCGGCGTCCCCCGCGGTTCTAAGATCTGGCCGGCCGATCGCCGAGTTAGGGGCGAACGGATTGGCGAAGAGATCGGGCCCGGTGAACTATTTTCCTCTAATATTTGTCCACTAAATTGTCTACGTAACTACTATTAACGATTAGCACCGTAGATCCTACACGAAATAGTTACGCACTACGACACTCTAGCGGGTTGCGCACGCGGGACATAGACGCGGCCAGGCATTACAGCTCCCCCCATATGCTGCAGCTAGCCAATTGGGAATCGGGCTCTCTTTATCCGACGTTCCAGACCTCTACCATAATTGATAAGAGCTGTCTGCCCCCCTATTTCCTTCGAATGATCTAGAGGCCACCGCTCTAATGCATGCAACCCCACTTTGCCGTCTGTCTCAGGCCACCGCTCTAATGCGTGTAGCCCCAATTCGCCTTCTGTCTCAGGGCCTTTCAGCTGTCTGCAGTTGATGAATTGTACATCTTGTGTATCTGGCCCCCTTGCAGATTGTGCGTGTTCTGCCTCTGCTTCTGCTTGTTGCCTGGGCCCCAGCTGAGTCCTATTGAATTTATTACCAAGACTTTGCGTGACTAGGTCAATTTCAGCGCCCAGCCAATGGCCCCTATTCTGGGCACCATTGCTATACTCTGAGCACATTATTTGTGTACCTTTCGAGTAGCTATCACTCAGCGCCTCATCCTTGGGCGCTTGTTGCTGTTCCACGTCAGAACTTCTCGCCCTTATCGGCAAGCCCTTTGGTTTTGCACTATGCCATCCCTCAAATGCCTTCACGTTCTCAGCTTCAGCGCTCTTCTGAGGGTCTTTCAACCCGATTTGCATGCGCACTGCCTCATGTTGAATCACCCGCTCTCTCAGCTGCCCCTCTTGCTTGGACGTCCGATCTCGTTTAGTACGAATGCTATCTTTAGACTCAGCATTGTGTGGGGTGTTTTCCTCAGTGCAGCAAAGGCTTTCATGAGCCACAAGCCTCTCAGCCCTCTGCTGTTCGCTTTTCGTTGGCCTAGCTCGGTTCACCCCTAAACCACCTAGCCCCTGCCGTTTCCCTGGTGAGTGTCCGTTTGCTCTCGCTTCACGTGTACAGATGCTTCTTTCCTAGTCTGAACGCCTGATGGGCACAACCTGGCCCAGTGGCCAAGTCTCCCACACTTGTTACATCGACTTCCGTTTCTCCTACACTCTAGCTTCTCATTTGGACAGTCTTTTGCCCGACGCGCATACCCACTGCAAGAGTAGCATTGCACCTGTGCCCCCTTTTCTCTTTCCCTGGCCTGTTTAGTGTCCCTTTGGTAATGTGTACCCCTCTGCTTTTCTGTGCCCCCTTCGTTGGTTTCCTGCATCGTTTGTTCTGAGTTCCATCCCTTGACGTGGGTTTGCCTCTTATCCTGTTTGCTATTCAGTACCCAGCCTTCTCTGATCAGCTTGTCACGTCCCTTCACTTCTTGTCTGAAGTTTTCAGTCGTATACTCGTACCAAGTAGCTACTCGGTTTGCGACAAGGGCCCTCATGGCTAGCATCTGCTCCCCGGTATCTAGCCAAGAAGCAAACTCATGTTTCAGCACCCTCTTTACCATGTCATAGCGGAGTCTTGAGAAGAACGACTCTTTAAGAGTCTCTTTTGGCGGTTTTACCCCTTCCGCCAGCACACTGGAAAACCTTTCCACTACCTCTTCGAAGTTGCCGTTGTATTCGATCTCTTTGAGTTTGCGAATAGTCGTCACCACGGGCGTCGTGCCAAACCTTTGCATAATGAAACCTTCAAGTTGTTCCCAGGTCGTCGGCATCAGTTCTGGTGCCCTTCTCTTTGTTGTACAATAGTGCGCCAACGCTCTTCCTGTTAGAAATGAGACCATATCAGCGAGTCTCGCCTCTTCGTCCATTTGTAGGGCATTCTGGTACTGATTAATTTGCATTAACCATTCCCTAGGGCGCTCTCTGTTGTAGCCCGGGGGAGAACGAAACAAACCCTCCCTTCGATCGCTCGATGAAAACGAACGGTCGAAGGTGCTGGCAATTCTGTGCAGAGCAAATTCCATTACCTGTTGGAACTGCTCCTGCATGCGCAGTAGCCGGATTTCGGGGGGTTCCTCGGTGTGGTCCTTAAGATTGGACCGTCCAGCTCGGCTGGGTGCCAGTCTATGCAGCTTATTGACTCTTGGAGTAGCGATTTCGGGGGGCAGCATTGTCACAGGTTCAGGTGCCGGTGCGGTGATCGGTGTTCTTTCCAAACCCCTTCCTGTAGGTAGCATGAGGGAAGATTGGTCTATAGCCTCTCCTATCAGCTGCGCTTGGAAGTCCCAAAGTCCTAACAGCGCGTAGTTGCTTCTTCCGTCTAAGGTATAATGTAGTGAATACTCACTACAATCAAGGCAAAAATGTCGTGCTCGTTGTGAAATGAGTGAGGGTAGTATGAACAGTGGAAGCGTCTGTGAGTGCTTATTGATGTACATTGAGTGTAACATTGGTGACTGCATTAAACATTCTTTACGAAGTGGCATTGGTATGACTACAGGAGAGGCTGGCATGAGCCTTGGTGTAAAAGGTGTTGCAACATGCTTCGCTGTCTCCTCGCGCTGTTCCAAAGGCAGCAGCGCCTGCTCTAGAGAGGTTGCGGAACAGAACAATTTTGGAGAAGAAACTGAGAGAAGTAATTTCCTTTAACCTTTGTTAGTTTGTTATTTTGCTGTATCAGGACGATAGCTAATGCCTGCCAGCTCGCTATACTCAGCTGTGGGGTTCTACAGATGCGCCCCACAGTAGTCCTTCAGAGGTACAACCCATGAATACGTAAAGATTAACTGCAAATATTTATACTAAAGTGAAGTATTCTACGTTATCTTGAACAAATCTCGGCATAGCATGTGAGGGACTGACGGCTCTCCCCTCACATCATCAGCTTTTAGGGCCCGCAGTACCTCTAGTGTTGTGGATTCGTAACACCCCATCGTGTGAAGGAATTTGAATCCCTGCTAGGCCTCACGATTGTGTTTTTCATATGCTTTTGTGTTGTTGTTGGGGGCACAAGACGCAGAGCTGCTGGCAGTGACTGGTGCATCTACTGACGTGAGAGGGATCAAGTTCCGAGGGTCATATGACTTCTAAGGCACCAAACTCCCCTTATACTGGTCCTTTTGAAGGGGAATTTCTCACAACAGGTACAAAATTCACACAGACAATCCTACACTAGGTTCTAAACCACAGAACCCTAACCCCTAACCCCTAAACATGAAACACTACAACCTAAATTTAATACTAAGCAATACGTTAAAGAATAAGTCCTAAACAAAACCCTTTAACTATACTAGTAAACTGCTACCATATGTCGTGAAACCTGGAAGCTAGACTGTCGACAGTAAACCCTAAAACCAAAGCCCAAAGCCCTGGGGGCCAAGACCAGCGTCACCCTTAAGCCGTGAATGCTAGACACTAGAACCCTTAAAACCCGGCAATAAGCTGTAACCGTAGATCGTAAATTCTGACCACCATAACTGCGTAAATGCTGCAGGTAGGTGGTCAATCTCAGCTGTCTATCAATAGGCATCAGCAGCAGCTTCAGCAAAATGATTGTGTGCTTCTTGTACAGCAGTACTCGGTGAGACTTTAGGCCACATGGAGCACTGCTGTGCTCCCCTTTTGCACGCTGCTACATGAACGCACTTACTGATGCGAAAGCGGGATTTCCGCGAGCTCCGCACTTACAGTGGTGGTGGAAGTAAGACCTTTCGGTCAAAGCTTAAAAGTGTCCATCGGCGGTAAAGTCAAGCATATATTTCTTGGTCTTCCGCTTCAGCCTGACCCGCGGCCCCTCTCTCTAGCTAGCACCGTCCAGGGCCGTTTAAAGAGCTGAAAAATAAACAACACTGCAACTCAATATGCTGGCACTCCGCCAAGCGAATTCCCATCCAGCGGGACCGCCCTGCTGATTCTACGGGACGCAGTGGCGCATTCCCTACACACGCTAGCTACACACATACTATTCTACCAGGTACCCGACAGGGCATCTACCCATTTCGACATTTTTGCACACCTAGCATTAACACTCCAGCACAAATGGCATTCTAATCAAATCCTATGCGCGCCACCCTTTCCAATATGTAGCACTTCAGTTGCATAGGGGTTTGGGGGAACGGGGCATTCTGCTTCCAGTACTT